GTTTTATGAATTTGAAAAGAATAGCAACGTTATAATTATGAAATATTTAATTAATTTTGAAATATGTTTTGACGTCTAAAATGGTTTTTTGAATTTCCTTAAAACTTCACTGCGTGAAACAGACTTCTGAAAAAGTAATGAAAAACACGTGTTTCTGATAAAGCATTGTATTACTACTAGATATGTTACATCCAGTTAATAGTAAATGATCAGGAAGACTTTAGATCTCCTGGACCTATTATCCAACCTGGTGCAGTTCCATCCTTATTGTCTTGCAGCTTCAAATTCCGACAAGACGTGTAGAGAAGTCTAGCAGTAATTATAATTGTAACCTGTGTGGTAGGAAAAATAGGTTACTGTTTCAGATAGCATTTGTCACCAACCGGTTGTATGAATATAAAACTGCAAAAGCCAGTTTAAAAGATATTAGATTACTTTAGTTTAATGTAATGCCCAAAACGTTGTATTTTCATTGTCATTATAATTCTTTAGTGGCTATCATCACATAGGGTTCGTAATTTACAAAATTATATTTTTTATTTTCTATGAATTGAAACTTTAAAAACGCGGAACTATTGCACGTAATAGTACTTGTTATGGTTCCGGGATATACAGGGTCGACTTTGCGAAACGTGAAACCGCTACACGGGAGCACGGTCAATGTGAGCCGAGACAAAATTTCAGGGGTTCTGTATGACGATGACAAAAACAAACATTATGTGGGCTTCTAAAAAGATCAAAGCTAAATGACGAAAGAGGAGATGAAGTGAAGTCCGTGAGGGAGATTAAGTGTGGTCCGCGAAGCGAGCGTAAAGCCGCGAGGAAGGGGTGATCCAATGGTCCATATGGTTCGGGAATCGTCGGGTACATCATAGTTGACAACCCTGTACTGAAATCTCCCCTTAGAAGGCGAACCACAGTATCCCCATGCAACGGATAGTTTCCTACCGGAAGTCAAGGAAGGTAGAGGTACGACCGTTTAACATAATCTGCCTCAGTGACTCATGGCTCCTACCTAATATTTCATACTCAACTTATTTGTATATTTTGTGATAGTAATATCAGTAACTACACGCGAGCTTGGTCAATGTGAGCCGACTGAAAATTCCAGGGGTTCTGTATGACGATGACGAAAACAAATATTATGTAGGCTTCTAAAAAGAGTAAAGCTAAATGACGAAAGAGGAGATGAAGAGAAGTTCGCGAGGGAGATTAAGTGTGGTCCGCGAAGCGGGCGTAAAGCCGTGAGGAAGGGGTGATCCAATGGTCCATATGGTTCGGGAATCGTCGGGTACATCATAGTTGACAACCCTGTACCGAAATCTCCTCTTAGAAGGCGAACCACCGCATCCCCATACAGCGAATGGTTTCCTCCCAGAAGTCAAGGAAGGTAGAGGTACGACCGTTTAACATAATCTGCCTCAGTGACTCATGGCTCCTACCTAATATTTTATACTCAAATTATTTGTATATTTTGTGATAGTAATATCAGTAACCACACGGGAGCATGGTCAATGTGACCCGACTCAAAATTCCAGGGGTTCTGTATGAAGATGACAAAAACAAACATTATGTAGGCGTCTAAAAAGAGCAAAGCTAAATGACGAAAGAGGAGATGAAGTGAAGTCCGTGAGGGAGATTAAGTGTGGTCCGCGAAGCGTGCGTAAAGCCGTGAGGAAGGGGTGATCCAATGGTCCAAATGGTTCGGGAATCATCGGGTACATCATAGTTGACAACCCTGTACAGAAATCTCCCCTTAGAAGGCGAACCACCGCATCCCCATACAACGGATAGTTTCCTCCCGGAAGTCAAGGAAGGTAGAGGTACGACCGTTTAACTTAATCTGCCTCAGTGACTCACGGCTCCTACCTAATATTTCATACTCAACTTATTTGTATATTTTGTGATAATATCAGTAACTACACGCGAGCATGGTCAATGTGAGTCGACTGAAAATTCCAGGGGTTCTGTATGACGATGACAAAGACAAATATTATGTGGGCTTCTAAAAAGAGCAAAGCTAAATGACGAAAAAGGAGATGAAGAGAAGTTCGCGAGGGAGATTAAGTGTGGTCCGCGAAGCGTGCGTAAAGCCGTGAGGAAGGGGTGATCCAATGGTCCATATGGTTCGGGAATCATCGGGTACATCATAGTTGACAACCCTGTACAGAAATCTCCCCTTAGAAGGAGAACCACCGCATCCCCATACAGCGAATGGTTTCCTCCCGGAAGTCAAGGAAGGTAGAGGTACGGCCGTTTAACATAATCTGCCTCAGTGACTCATGGCTCCTACCTAATATTTCATACTCAACTTATTTGTATATTTTGTGATAATATCAGTAACTACACGCGAGCATGGTCAATGTGAGTCGACTGAAAATTCCAGGGGTTCTGTATGACGATGGCAAAAACAAACATTATGTGGGCTTCTAAACAGAGCAAAGCCAAATGACGAAAGAGGAGATGAAGAGAAGTTCGCGAGGGAGATTAAGTGTGGTCCGCGAAGCGGGCGTAAAACCGTGAGGAAGGGGTGATCCAATGGTCCATATGGTTCGGGAATCGTCGGGTAAATCATAGTTGACAGCCCTGTACTGAAATCTCCCCTTAGAAGACGAACCACCGCATCCCCATACAACAGATAGTTTCCTCCCGGAAGTCAAGGAAGGTAGAGGTACGACCGTTTAACTTAATCTGCCTCAGTGACTCATGGCTCCTACCTAATATTTCGCACTCAATTTATTTGTATATTTTGTGATAATGTCAAAAACTTTACCATCCGAACGACTACTACTAATAATCACATGTAATTGGTCTGTCTCTGCATACCAGTTGCAGCGAAAGTAATGATTGGATATGTATGTTTTGTCACGGCACGCTTGCTCTAATAAGGGGAGATAATGCGGCCACTAACCTGGAGAGTGTTTCACTGGATTTGTCGAGTACAAATTTTTTTTGTTTAAATAATTCCGATTATTAAGAAGGAAATAAATGCAACATGGTTTATGCACGATGATATATCAGCGCATTTTAGAGCAATTACTCGTGAGTTTTTAACAACTTTTTTTGGAGATCGCCAAATTAGTTAAGGTGGACCTCACTTATAACTTGCTCGACCCTTGGACTCAAACCCCTTTTTAATTTTTATTCATGGAACTATCCGAAGTCAGTAGTTTATAATACCTCACTCTAAAATGAGGAGGTATTGAAAAATCTGAGTATTGTATGATGTAAGTTAATAAAAAATGACCATACTGTTTTTGAATGAGTTCGACGTTCAGTGAGGAAAAGATTAGAAAAATGCACTCTATAGCTGGGGGTAGTCTATTAAACAGGTCTAGTAAATAAGAAGTTCTACATATAATACTTAGATTCTATAATAAAATATTGTTAATGTCGAAAAATATTTATATCCCTGTATCTTCTAAAAATCATCAAAGAAACAAATATTGTTAGAATAACCCACGGAATAACCTCTCCATCAAGTTGTGCCGTATGTTTAATATGCATTCTGTAGGTATAAATTTCTCAAAATACAATTCTTGATTCAAATGAATTTCAAATTCTTCAAAAGTCTTCTTTCAAAAATTAATATTTTTGGGTATTAGTAATACGAATTCCATTATTCATTTAATATGAATATAATTTAATTTCATACTAATATTATACTTCTCTTACAACTTAACATTTTTCTTTTAATACACCAACTCAAGTATCTCTCTCTTAACAAATGTTATTCTTCTTATTATTACC